TAGTACAGTCTGCCCCAATCCCAACCAGGCCGAAATTGGCATGGCGGGAGACCGCGTCGCTAGGGTTTTGCGGTCACGCCCACGGCCTGCTTCTCTGCTCTCTCTTCAATCTTTTTGCTGTCTCCGACAGCGCGCACATGCAGCGCAGATCGCTAGCGCTCGAGCGCGCAAATTTACGCCGACGGTTCGGCCTGATCCCGATTGGAGCAAACTGTAGGTTTTTCACTACTTTTCTAGGCTAACGTCCATGGCTTGCACATTAGCTTGTCAAATACATTCTTAACTCTACAAAAAGTAATACTACGGACCCAAATCTGCTGGCCAGAAGCCAAGTGGACCCGTTTGACGCGCAATTTTCAATGGATCCACTCAACGGATCCGCTCATGCTTTTGTAGAGTGAGCTTTCATGCTGGTAGCGTGCGCTATGCAGAATTTGGGCTCGGGACGTTGGCTGGAACACGCTCTACGAATTTCGTGACAGACAGAGATTCACACACACACACACACACACACACACACACACACACACACACACACACACACACACACACACACACACACACACACACACACACACACACACACACACACACACACACACACACACACACACACACACACACACACACACACACACACACACACACACACACACACACACACACACACACACACACACACACACACACACACACACACACACACACACCACACACACACACACACACACACACAAGACAAACGTAAACAACCCTTAGCCCGTTATTGTAAGTTACCAGTGCGTCACCTCTGCTTCGCAGAGGTTCGCATTGGCCCTACTATCCATGCCTTCTTCGTGATCGCATGATAATGACTTTGAAACTCACTGCGTGATGGTGAACGTCACGAATGAACTGTAAACAACCATTCATTTTCAGAGCTTTTCCATGTGAGATCGGTAATTTTGGGCGAAAAAATTTCCCGCAGAAAAACAAATGCGATTTTGAATGGGTTACTGAATTTATTTTGGCTTTATAGTCGCCATAAGGATAAAGATCACCCTGGGCTACATATCTATTCAAAAATCCTCTCATTTTTTATAGTAAAAACTTGGCAAATCGACAATTTGCTCAGTTACATCTTTTTGGCGCCAATTTCGTTTAAAAATAGACTTTTTGCTTATTTTTTGAGCTGAAGTCAGTGTTTTTTGGATTCACTTGCTAAACAAATCCAAGACTTTGCAAAAAGTCCAATTACCGATCCATTTTGGCAGGCCAAAAGTCGCGTGGACCCGTTTGACGCAAAGTTTTCGATGGTTCCACTTACTGGATCGGCTTGTGGTTTTGCACAGTTTACCTACACGCTGACTGGGTGCTATGACCAAATTCTAGATCAAGACGCTAGCTGCAACTCACTCTGTGAGTTTCGTGACAGACAGACACACACAGACAGACAGACGCTTAGCGCTTTATTATAAGTCATGATGTTATAGTAGTTGCACCTGTCACGGGCTGTCTTTTGAAAGTGCAGATAATGTCTGTTAGTGTCTCCTTGCGTTTTGATAGAGTCTTCCGAATGAAGTTCAGAGTTACAGAAGCCCAGCAATCCATGAATTCAATGCTTACGAGTGAAGGATACTTGGTGATCGTGAACTTCCGATATGTGACTCATGTCATGACCACCTGAAACGTTAACTTCAAAGTGTGTTCGTTATTTGCAAAAGGATTCTCCGGAAAAATTGTGCCTCCTCTCATCATGTCGCACAAGAATATCAACAACGACAATGGACGCCAAACTTGTCGTCACCTCTGCTTCGCAGAGGTTCGCACTGGCTCTACTGTATCCGTAATACCTTCCTTGTGATTGCATAATAATGACTTTGAAATTCACCGCGCAATGCTCAACATCACAAATGAATTGTAAACAACTGCTCATTCTCAGAAGCTTTCCATGTAAGATTGGTGATTGTGGGAGAAACAACTTTTCCGCGAAAGAACAAATGCGAATTTGAATGAATTACTGGATTTATTTCAACATCACCCATAAGAATAATAAACCTCTTAGGCTACATCTATGTGCAATAATCTTTTCAATTTATCGGGTAAAACTTTGACTAATCGGCTATTTACACAATCATTATTTTTGGCGCTGCTTCAGCAGGAGAACAGACCTTGCATTTTTTGTAATAAATTTATGGATCGCAAGTTCATTTGTCGCACAAATATCCGACATTGCAAAAAGTCTAATTTATCGGTCTAGTTCCCCTTGCCAAAAGCCGAGTGTATCCGCTCCAGGTGCCATTTTCAAACAATCCATCCATCGGATCCATTCGCCACTAGGCAGAGTGAGTCTAAACGCTGCCAGCGCAAGCTGTGCAAAATTTTAACTTAAGACATTGCTGCAGTCGCTCTATGAATTTCGTGGAAGACAGATATACACACACGGACAGACCGCTTAGCGCTTTGTTATAAGTCATGATGGATATCGGTTTGATCTCTGTCGGTACGAATATTTTTGCATTCGCTCTCAATCGCGCTATTTCTCCTCAGAAAACCTTAGGCCTCGGACAGAGTTCACAACTTCAAAACTATCACAACTGAAATGCAAGAAGATCGGCATGCAATGAATTCGTAACACTTGTCTTTAGCGATTTGGTCGTCGCGATTCAATCGCTACAAGACAACTGTTACAAGTTCATTGCATGCCGATCTTCTTGCATTTCGGCTGTAATAGTTAGTCACGATTAGTCGTGTTGGAAAACTATCACAACTGAAATGCAAGAAGATCGGCATGCAATGAATTCGCAACACTTGTCTTAAGCGATTGTATCGCGACGATCAAATCGCGTGTACTCTGTCTGGGCCTTAGACAACGAACATTATCTCGAGATCAGTGATTTAAGACGAGCCTGATGTGTATCAAATTTTGAACGGCACCCTCAAGTTATCCTTCCTTTGTTAGAAATCTAAGATGAGTGACAATTTGTTTGAGGAAGAAAATGTCCTCAAATTTCAAAGTAGGTTTTCTTCCTTTTCTTGCGCAAGAGCGTCCTTCGTGGAATCTCTCAAGCCGCAAATGAGTTTGTTTGATTCTTAGCAGTTTTTGGTTGAACTCTTGAAAACTACTACATTACTGTGCGATGGCTCAATACCGTAATTTTAAACGTTTTTGCAGCGCAAGCAAATTTTGCAAATAACTTTTTTCAACGCTTTAGGTAGTAAATTAGCTTCTCACGACGATAAAGGAAGTCTTTGATGCTTTGACTCTTATCTTGCATATGCTTCATTATGGCTGACCGAAAAGGAACACATTCTACAAGTTCTTTCTCTGTTGGATAGTGGTTCGAAACTTGAGCTGTTGGAGGGCCGTTCGTTCAGCAACATTGTGAAACAAGCGCACTTTTGCAGTATTTTTTTTACAAGAGATATGGCGTATCACATAGAACCAGTGCTGAAAAAAAGCTTTTTCACCCAAGTGACACATTATTCACTTCTATAATCATCATAACTTATAATAACGGGCTAAGGGTGTTTACGTTTTTTTGTGTGTGTGTGCGTGTGTGTGTCTGTCCGTTACGAAATTCGTAGAGCGTGTTCCAGCCAACGTTCTAAGCCCAAATTTTGCACAGCTCACGCTACCTGCGTGAAAGCCCACCATGCAAAAACATGAGCGGATCCGTTGAGTGAGTCCGTTGAAAATTGCGCCTCAAACGGATCCACTTGGCTTCTGACCAGCAAAATTGGGCCGGTATCAACATTTTTTGCGCAAGTCATGGATACGTTTGACAAGCTAATGTGCAAGCCATGGACGTTAACCCAAAAAATTGGACTAAAGTTGATTAGTTTACGAAAATGGCGCCAAAAAGAATAAGTTGCATAAATGTTCAATTTGCCAAGATTTCACCTGATCGTTTGAGAAGATTTTCGCACAGGGGTGTAGTCCACTGTAATTATTGTCGTTATGGCGACTACCAAGTCATAGAAAGACCAAAAACCAATTCAAAATCGCATTAATTCTTCTCGAAAAACTTTCATCCACGCGAAAATACCGATCTCACACAAAAAAGCTCTGGGAATGAATAGTTGTTTACAAATCATTCGTGATAGCCTGCATGGCTCGGTGAGTTTTAATGTCATTATTATGCGGGAATGAGTTAGGCATACAGAAAGTAGGGCCAGTGCGAACCTCTGCGAAGCAGAGGTGACGCACTGGTAACTTATAATAACGGGCTAAGGATGTTTACGTGACTTTGTGTGTCTGTGTGTGAGTGTGTCTGTTACGAAATTCGTAGAGCGTGTTCCAGCCAACCTCCTGGGCTCAAATTTTGCACAGTGCATGCTATCCGCATGAAAGTCCAACATGCAAAAGCACGAGCAGATTCGTTTAGTGGATCCCTCAGAAACTGCGCGCCAAACGGATCCACCTGGCTTCTGTACCGCAAAATTCGGTCCGTATCATTACCTTTTGCAGAGTCGTGGATGAGTTTGGTAAGCAAATGTGCAAGCGATAGAGCTTAGCCGGAAAAGTGGTCGAAAGTTTACTACATAACGAAAACGGCGCCAGAAAGAATTGGTTGTGTAAATGGTCAATTTGCCAAGGTTCTAGCTAAGCGTTTGAGAAGATTTTCGCACAGAGATATAGCCCACGGTTACTATTACCTCTATGGTGACTATCAAGTCATGACAAATCCGAAAACCTAATCAAATTTGCGTTTGTCTTCCTGCGAAAAGTTTCATCCACCCGAAATCACCAACCTCACGTGAAAAAACTTTCTAAATGAGTGGTTGTTTACATTCTATTCGTGGTAGCCGGCATAGCGCGGTGAGTTCCAGTGCCACGATTTTACGAGAATGAGTAAGGCACATAGATAGTAGAGCCAGTGCGAGCCTCTGCGAAGCAGAGGTGACGCACTGGTAATACATAGCTGCATGGGGCTAAATGAAAATGAATCATGAATTAACAATTTGCATAGGTTAAGCACAGATATAAAAGTAGCGGTTTGAGGTAAGCTATTCATTTGCAACAAATAGCCGACCGTTATGGCGGATGCAGTGTTTTTCGAGCCAATGCGCACCTCCGTATTTGTGTCAGCAGGCGGTTCGAAGAAAAAACTCGCAAATCATACAAATAAGCGAGTAGCTTATAAAGTAAGCAATTGCAGCAGATTTGCACGAGTAGTATGACAGGATTTTAGTTCGTTTTTCCGCCTGGTTCGTCTTTCACCGCCAAAGATCAAGATATGTATGGCTTCATACCTGAATGGGGAAAAATTGAAGTAACACTTTGCAGAAAGGTTATTAAAAACACACTGCAGCCGGCACAAAGATGAAGTCTCATTTTAGCCCGGAAAACCTACCAATGAAACTATGGCGATACAATTTGCAGCTGCGCCAACTGGTGATGATCCAAGGGCCAGTTTTAGCACTGGTGTACCACAAGGTGAATACACAGGCGAAACACAAGTAAAACTTGTTGGCACCGAATAGAGAATGAAGAAAAACCATAAAAAGCTTAAGTTTGCCTTTCTGCACATCGCAATAAATATTGTATATGGCAGAGTGCGACAAATAGAGATTTTATTGATTTTAGCCAGGAATGTCATAAGCTTCCCTTCTATGGCATGGCAAACAAATAACTTGTCATAAACTTACTAGGGTCTACCAATGCGTCATCTCTGCTTCGTAGATTCTCGCACTGGCATTACGGTTCAGGTTGACTTACTTTCTGAGAGCGGTTCTCGAGTTACTCTTGAACTGACTGAAGTGAGTAAACCCTCAATAAAATGAAGCTCCCTCGATGTGAGACCATCAGGTGCTTATGAGTACAATTTTGTAACAGAAGTGAATGCGCATTATTATACAACAAACCGTCACAACTGCTCTGCAGAGACTAGCACTTCCTTCCTCGTGCTTGCATGATAGCGGCTTTAGAATTCACTACGCAATGCTGACCGTCAAGAATGAATTCTCGACAAGTAATTCCAAAAGCTTTTTTATGCAAGACTGGTAAGGAGAGAAAGGAGCTCTCGCAATGACAATTTAGTCCAGTTCTTGATTTCTATGGTTCGATAGTCGCCATTAGGACAATGGCCGCAGTGCGTTGCATTTCTGAGTAAAATTTCTCAGAGGCACTGTTTCAACAGGCTTGGGATTAACCAGATTCTTACGTATTTCATCAGTGGAACCTCTTATTATGCCAATGCCTAAGTCTCATTCGATAGGCCTCTCCTAGGTTAGGAAAATCAGTTTCAAAGTGGATCGCGGAGCACGTCGGTGCGCTAGACGACTTGTCATTCACCTAATGCGTTTCATCACCTGCGAAAGCTATGGAAAAGAAAGACATCTAGTCTGCGTTGCCTCTACGAGGGCCGAAAGCTTCAAGAGACAGAGTTGCTAGGGTTTTGAGTGACTTCGAGCCCGTACAGAGTTATTCAGGGTCGGAAAGGCTTATACAGAGTGTCCCAAAAGGGTGTGCACACTGTTTGATCGTTAATAACTCTCTTGCTTTCATGTCTTTTGCCGAGCTTGATTTACCATTCGGTAGAGCGAGGATAAACTTAGAATTACAGTATGGAGCGAATCACTAATCGCTCTTCGTTACTGTAGGATTACGGTAGATATTAAAAGCGGTATTTTGCCTCAGAAAGAAAGCCAAACAAGCCGGGAATTCTTGAACTGGGTTAATTGAAGTTGCCGATTGTAAATATGAAAATTGCGCGTCAGTACACTGTTTCTTTCAGAAGTTATTTCAGATTCAGGGTAACAACCGATTTTCCAAAGTTTGTCAGAAAAATGAATAAGCCATCAAGAAAGCTCGAAAAACTTCCGGAAAGTTATGTAGTGAAATCAGCACGCCTGAAAACCTTGCTACACAAATTTTTAGATTTTTTCGAAATTATTTCATCAAAAGGCTCAATCCACAGTGACGCTGTATGCTGAAAGTTCATACCTTGAACGTACAGTAACGAAGAGCGATTAGTAATTCGCTCCATACTATAATTCTAAGTTCATCATCGCTCTACAGAATGGTGCCTAAAGCTCGGCAAAAGACATGAAAGCAAGAGAGTTATTGACGATCAAACAGCGTGAACATCTTTTTCGGACACCCTGTATTTTGCAAACCCCCGAAACCCAGATTCTAGTGAGATACTGCCTTCAAACTGTTTAGTTAACCTTAACAGAACGACCCATACGAAAAATCACTTCGTTTTCGCGCTGTCTCGCAAAGTAATAGGCTTTCTGATCGTTTGGACTATAATAAATGTCTTGCAGATTTACTGGTCAGAGAAATCATGACTTATGCTTGAATACAGAAACAATATTACAATTCGAATCAGTAGACCCATTTGACGCGCAATAATGAAAGGATTCATGTAATCGGCCTGTCCTTGTGCATTTTGGACCTACATGCTGGTAGCGGGTGTTATGACTTGCGAGACCTTTGCCATAACTCGCTCTATGAATTTCGTGGCAGACAGATGTACACATGGCTGGGAGACGGTCAAGACGCGATTTCTCCGGCTGTCACCAACTCAAAATTTTAGTTTAGTGCTACGCAAGTCTTCAAAAAATACCAAATGAAGTGCGTTAGCTTACTATCTGTCTATGGTTACCGCTTGCTGAATTTGGGGGCTTTTGCTGGGAAACGGACCGGAATATTCGCAATTTGTTCCTAACTGCATTTCCATGTGTTGTTGACCTCCAGAATTGCTGTTTTGAAAGGAATCCAAGGTAGCAAGATTGAGGAACCCATGCAACTCTCTAATATATCTCTTTCTAAAATTTAAATACCTTTAAAATGTTGTAAACACTTATTATGCGCTATTTAATGTCCATCTGGCAATAAAAAACGCTCCTCTTGACATATCCCCCCTCCCAAATCACCAATGCCAAAGCTTTTTCTTTGACTGCTCTGTATGGAATTTCAGGAAAGTCCTCATTTCTGGAATTTGTTTTTGATACACTAAGTTGAAATTATTTCTTAACAATTGACGAATTTATTTCGTTTTCTTGTGATTGCTTCCAGCATTACATTGACCGCTGCATCATCATTATATTACCTCCGGAAAGGCTGCGATAAATTTCTGCGGAGTGGACCGTAGCGCAAAACATGTCTTTAGTCCGTGCAGGTAGGCTACTGAAGGCAGTGGCCCTGCAGATCCTCAACCAGTAATTTTTTGCTTAAGTGAGGTAACCGACCCCCGCGCTGACCCCGAAAATCCATCTTAACGAGCACGAAAACAGCGAAAACGTGTATTTCCCGAGGCACTTCATTTGAATTTGGAAACAGAACAAAAAAACATGGAAGAAAACAACGTGAAAGATCAAGAGCAGCTTCCAGACAGTATCTTGACTTCCGCTTGTTATTTTGCTCATGCGTTTTCATGACGCTGATTTCAAAACTCGAAGTGCGTGATTTCGCCAAGAAAATTTCTCTGAGGCTATTTTGTTTCTGAAAGAAGTGTGGGCGTTGTCAGAAGCATTGGACATTTTGCAAAGAGTGCTTTGTGCTTTCGGTTGTGCTTCCTGTGTGAAAACGAGTTAAAGACCAAGTGTAGGAAGGAACTCCGCGAAAGAGAGAGCGGCACACCGGAATGAGCGGTCCGCACATAGGTAGTGAATTCCACGCCCATTTTTCCTTTTTGGAGGAGTTGAAGACTGGGTTTGCGCAGTAGTTGTAGTTCGATGTGCACTTGATTCTTATGTAGACAAGGAAATTCAAATCTGTCCGAACTCTGCCTTCTTTATCTCATACTAATTCTTTAGCATATATCAAGCCTGTTGAAAGTAGAAGTGCGAGTTTGTCAAACGTACTTGGGCTTGACCTCTTATACATTTAAAATATACTGCACGATCAGTAATGACTCTTGAGTGTGAGATTTACGTAGTTTCCGATAAAAGCACCAGGCCTGCATTAGAGCAGTGGTCTTCATTCGATAGTTGCGGTATCCTCTCTTATCACTGGTAAATGAACTCATAACTTTGAAAATGAAAACGATGATAGGACTTTAGGTATAAAAGATGAAAAACGGCAAGGAAAGCCATTTCATTACTAACTTCTTAATCATGGCAGACGTCGTTTTCTTTGAACCACGAAAGGGGAACGTGTTTGTGACTTCTGGCGGATCGACAAAGCAACTCTCCAACCAAACCAATAGGAGAGTGGCGTACAAGGTACAATCTGCTCAAGACAGCATTTAAGAAGAAAAGAAATACTGCGTTCAATATTTTAGTTCGTTTTTCCACCGGACTCCAGCTTTTTTGCTAAACCTGAGCAAATGTACGGTTTCGTGCCTAAAGGAGGAAAGATCAGCGTAACACTTTACAGAAAGGTAGCGTTGCATGATCACCTTGATAAATGCCACAATCTTTTTCCAGCCAGGAAAAGGGACTACAGAAAAAATGAAAATTCAATTTGCCGCAGTCGATGAAGCCGCTAGAGACCCACAAGCAAGCTTTGCTACAGGGAGCCCAATGGGAGAATTTGCAGGAGAAACGGATGTTACCCTAGTAGGCACAGAATGAATGAAATGATGATGTTGACAGGAGTGAATAAAGCCCTTAACTATTATTCTTATGCAGTTATCACGAGTACGCAGTCACCAACAGCATCTCTGATTCGTTGACAAATCAAACTGAATTTTGCGAAGCTCCTCACTTTTGCTAGAACAAATTGGCCATATTCACAGACAAATGTTCGGGTTGAAATCGACTTGAGTAGAATTGAGAATTACAAGCACAGGGTATATCAACCTCAGGTTGCGCTCGTTTTGTAGCAATAAACATTACTTGAGGTAGAAAATAATCTTGAAGAGCCTTCTCAAGGCGGTATTGACAGGTTCGATAAATATAGCAGCTGGCCAGCGACTTACTCGTCACCAGTGCGTCACCTCTGCTTCGCGGAGGCTCGCACTGGCTCTACTATCTACGTGCCTTACTCATTCTCGTAGAATCGTGGCACTCACCGTGCTATGCCGACTACCACGAATGAAATGTAAACAACTACTCATTTAGAAAGCTTTTCACGTGAGATCGGTGATTTCGCATGGAAAAAATTTTTGGCAGGAAGACAAAGGCAAATTTGAATAGGTTTTTGAATTTGTCATGGTTTGATAGTCGTCATAAAGGCAATAGTCACCGTGAGCTACATCTCTATGCGAAAATCTTCTCAAATGCTTTTCTAGAACCTTGGCAAATTGACCATATGCAAGCAGCACTTTTTTGGCGCCGTAAAGTAATGGACTTTTGGTCAATTATTTGGGCCTAAGTTCATGGCTTGCTCATTTACTTGCCATAAACACCCAGCACTCTGCAAAAAGTGGAATTACGGACCTAAGTTTGTGGACCAAATGCAAAGTGGATCCGATTGACGAGCAATTTTCAAGAGACCCACTCAACGAATCTGCTTGTGCTTTTGCATGTTGGAGTTTCATGCCCATAGCAAGTGCTACGCAAAATTTGAGTCCAGGACGTTGGCTGAAACACGCTCTACGAATTTCGTGACAGACAGACATTCAGACAGACAGACACACAAAAACACGTAAACATTCTTAGCACGTTATAATAGTAGGAAGGTGTGTGTGACATCGCAGTAACGTAATTTCCCTGGTCTGATAGCCCTTTCGCTCCGAAACGCTGTCAGTAAAGCACTTGTATGTGAACTCCGCTTGTTAAAAAGCTTACAAAATAGCCACAAGGAAAGAAAACTGACAAGCATGACATAGTTTCCAATTTGTTCATGCAGTAGTGCCTCAGTGTGAAAATTTTTGAAAGCATAATGGTTTTTCATGCAAAACCTTTAGATACGAATAAAGAAAAAGCATCAACAGTTTCAAAACTTCTTTCTTCTAACTTCAAATCAAGCTATCTCCTAAACGCACCTATCTGCAAGTTTTTCTTGAGCCATGCAACTAGGAGCTCATATATTTCTTACCTCCCTTTCTCCATCCTTCCCCTCCCCCCTGCTCCTGCCCCCTGAGATGGTGAGAATTCATGTAAGTGGCGGAGATAGGCGGCATTACAGGATCCTTCAAGATTCGCCCTTCTTCTCCATTGGGGCAATATTCTCCTCACGCACTTTTGCAGTAGTTCACCTCCGGGCAATTACATTGTTTTTACTAGCATTAACTGGGAAAAGTCAGTACTCAAATGACGAGTTGCAGATGATAATAAAAAATAAAAGTGTAAAATTTGTTTTAGTGAAATAGGTGAACTGACAAGTGCTTGTGGTCATGGCCATTGAAGATTTAGTATGTAGAGGCATAGAGCGCTTATTATCTTCTCTTATTATTATCTTCTCTTCTGCTAAGCGCATTTGAGTTCTGAGCATTTTTGGAAAATATAGCTTTATTTACAATAAAGTCATTCTTTTTCTGTATCTCGATCGCGTACCCGAATCAGTTTTTTTCATGACAGCCGACGCTCTAAGTGGGTATGTTACTCAAAAAGAGCAGATTCTGAACAAAGTGTACTACTGAAAAAATTTCCGTATCTCTTGCTGAACTGAAATGATTACAACTATGCTCATCCGAATCTCTTGCTGAACTGAAATGTTTACAACTATTTCTATATATTTCTCATCAGAAGCTAATTTTTGAAGCTTTGCAAATTAGTAGAACGTTTGACTTGCAATACATGCCGCTATACTTTCTACCACATCTTCAACCGCCATTTGTGTAACAAACAGCAATTTCATTCTTTTGTTATCATTTACAAATCGTCTTTATATGCGACTTTTCCAGTTGATGCCAGGAAAAACGAGGCGTTTGCCCTGAGGGGAACTAGCGCAGAAATCTGCGAGGTAGGTGGGGCATGATGCTAGGTTGGGTCTCACTGAATATTGCTTTCACACTTCCTCCGATAAGTCAAAGAATTGCACAAATACTAAGTTTGCCAAAAACTTGGAAACTTTGGACAGCCTGTTAAAGGCTCGCTGATCAGCTGAACAATAGTGACAGTCCTCATTGCCCTATAGGCCCATCAGGTTGATTCACAATTCCGTAACTGTTTTCGATTCCTAGAATGATTAGTCTAGAAAAGAACTCTATACTGAACAGGTCACTCTTGCTATGCAAGGCAAAACTTCTGCTTTCGGAAAAACTGGCTATTTGATCTATGGAGTCGCAAATTGGTGGTTTTCTGAAACAGAAAATGGATTTTTGGAGAATGATGTCTCGAAATTGTTGTAGTGTATCAGGTTAGCTATAAAATTATGCAAGTAAATCATCACTTCTATTTGAGCAAAATCTCGATTCGAAAACCGAATTCAGTTGCAAAAGAATTTTGAAGCATGACGGGAAATCTCCTTTTTCCAATATTGGGGGCACACGAGCGCCAAACCTGGGAAGCACCCGAAAATTTTTCGGACCGCTTGAATAGCGCCATGTCCTTCTATTCGAAACCACGAAGAGCATGGTATGCTCCGAAGGAATCGCTACGACCCCATAATGATTCTCATAAAATGTGTGGATGTTTTGCGTCCAGACATTCTCCTGAAATCTCACTGAGAAAAAAAGTCCGCATAGTCTACTCAATACTGAGAAATGATCAGCACAGGTCGTTTGGAAAAACTCATATTTTGCTTTGATTAGACTTTTTAACAACAACTATTCATAAGCACATAGCAACCACTCAAAAACCACTCATAATTTTTTCGAGAAGGCAACATCTACTTTAAAAAGTTCACTTAAGGCAGTTCGTTATCTGATGCTGCCTGATCTTCTCTTGCTTTCAGTAGTTCATTCCCACTGTACAGCGAAGGCCCCAGCATGTCTGATCGAAAGTAAAGCGGAAATTTTCGCAACCAAACCATCCAGCCTAAAATTGAGCTTGAACTGAGCAAGGTTCTAAATCTCAAGATGTATTAACTCCTACCCCATTGTCAAGGCAAGCGTTCAAATAGGCGTTGTTCAAGCACTTCCCGGTTGTGTCGACCATGCTATAAACATGAATTTGCACAATAATAGTGCACATAGGGGCGGTGACATTAAACACTCGGTCTTACTTGCAGAAATTTGTCGGAACAGTATTGTAAGTAAAGTTGCTCATGCAATTCTTGTATGCCGATGTCGTTTGAATACCATGAAGGCATGACCATTGACCGACTACTTCTGAAAGAAATGATGAAATTTTTTTGAGGGTTTTTATGGCAGTTTTGGCCCTCGCATCTTTCATTGCGCTTGTCAAACTTACTGACCTTCAAAGCCAGCGTTGCACATGAATTCCAGTCCCATGTATGTTCTAGTATAATCGAAAGCTGAAACATAAAGATTTAAGAGAGTGTTAATTCCAAGTTTGCCCACCATTTATGAAGTCAGGATCGGAGGTGTCGAGAATATTGAAGAGATTCATACACGGATAGTACGATGTCCCAAGACATTGGTAGAACTGTGTACGGGCGCTACAAGGATGACTTACATCATTACTCCAAGTTCTCATTTAGTCAGAGAAAACAAATCTCACAAACTTCGAAATTCTGACATCGAAGTTTTCCAAAGTAACAAATCCTGCAATCAACGCACTTGCATATTTTTACCAGCTCTGTAGTATTCGATTGCAATAATTGATTGATATTGTTATTGATGATTGTTCCATTTCTCCAAAAGAGGAGAGGGTCCATACCAAGAATTTGATTGAATTGAGCCTGAATAGTGTTAAGATCAAGCATTCACTAGACGCAATGCGATTTGCTTTTTTTGTGGGCTGTAATCAAGATGATATATTTTAATTTGCAACTTTAATGTAACATGGCAGACACTGTTGGAAAGTTGAATGCTCGATCACCTAACAACAAAAAAATCCCAATTTTCCAGTTTCTATTCGTAAATTTTTCCAAGTATTATGGCTACAAATATCGAAGGAGGCTATTACTCAATTTGTATATTTATCCAGGTTATATTTAACTTACAACTAGAAGTAGTTGTCTTACCTGACATCCATTCCATGGAATTGTTTCACATCTGGATATAGCAGCCTAGAATAACGAAGAGATTACGCCTTTCTTTTGTTCAAAAACCGAAGATCATTTACTTTGCCAGCTCGTCTGACAGTCAACCTTCTTTCAGAAAAAAATGTTATAATTGTGATTACCTGACTAGGAGGAGCAGGCTTTGAGCGATAAGAGACGTACTCAATAGCCTCCTTCGACAGTTCGTACTTAGGAATGAAATCGGCAAGGATGACGACAAACGCGCAAATAAGAAACGCGACAGCTTTCATCCTAAAAGATGAGAATAAGGAATGAGTCTAGTTGACTTTCCATGAGCAGCAGTATCAAAGAAAATTTGGAAATCAATGCTGCGATCAGTTGAGGCCGCATATGAAACCTTTATCTTTACGACACTGCAAACTTATCGGGCGTTAGTTGCATAAGAGAGTTTTCGACCATATATTTTCTAACTCCGTAACGATCTGAGGGAAAGCAGCTATGACTCTTTGTTTAGTCGTATCTTGGTAAATCTACAACTATGGGATTTCTCATGATTAATGACTATCTATGACTAAAAATGCAGCCTTCATTTGCTTTGAATCGTATCTCTGCAAAGGTCAAAATATCATATAACCGCTTCTACTACTTTTAAGAACTTAATCGATCTTAAGAGTGCTCGAAATTGAGCAAGTAGCCACACTTTATGAGCTTTGATATGAGACTATTTGTACCGTGAACAAATCAGCATCATCGAAGGAATGGCGGTATTCCTGTTCAGACACCTGAAAAATCCTATCCTATACAGAAGACCAAAAAAGTTTTTAGAGGTTGACATGGCGTCCAACTGCGCATATCAAAATATGTCGAATTTCAGTTCTTCTTTCGTTATGGAACAAAGTGTACTTCAAAAAGCAAGTAAACGACCACGTCGCAAAATTTTCAAAAAGCTGTAATCAACATCGAAGAACATCCAAAGTTTGAGAAAATCTGGAAATTGCCGATTACTCATGACTGCTTCCTAGTCAAGGTATTGATACTTGGGGAAAGAATGAGAATTTCAAACTGTGGAACCCAATTCATTACCGTTTATACTATTTCACTGCTCCTAAATTTACTTGTCATTCAGAGATCATATACTAAATTAACCGAGCATGGTTTTTTCTCACATTGAAGAAGTTTCTCCAATGATAATATCAGTTTCCACTTGCAAGTGTGAGCTTCGTCATACTTTGCTTATGCAAATAAGTTGGTGGCATCAAAAAATGAAAATCTATTAGGTCGTTCCGAAAGTAATGTCGCCTTTTTCAAACGTACGCCACATCTCGTGAACAAAGATATATAAGAGATTCTGGTAGCATTTGGTGCAGCATTTCATTGTCTTTCTAGTTGTTATATAATCACTGCAAGAAATCTAATAATCTCTCGAAAAATTATCAAAATCTGCGACCCATGCTTCTTGAGAAGGCCAATTTTCACAATTTTTCTAAATTCTTATTACAACCCTCGGGAGGAGCCCAAGTAGTATATAAATAGAGCAAACCCTAAAGGAAACAACACAACTTTTTTCTACTTTCCAGAGGTTCGTCATAATTTTTGTATAGATTTTTTGGTGGAACCACCGAATTTTAGCAGGCTCGTCTCAGCCACAAATGCAAACACTAAAAAATCTTCGGTTGTTGAAACTTACAAAGATGGATTATTGTTTGACACTAATTTTACAAACCAAATGTGCATTCACAGCTTCAGATTAGCCACTTTCGAAAATTCGGAGTACAGCCTGGGGCGCCCTGGAAAACCTGAATTATGATGATTTTATCCCGGAAAGCTTGATGAATCGTAAACAGAAAACAACTGGTAGAAAGAGGAGGAAAAACTGCGTGGAATGACACCCGAGTTGCTTGCCGGTTATTGTTCTGTGAGGTGTGAGTCGACCAAATATGGGATATGATAGCATCGAAAATTGATTCCAGAAACTCTAAAAAGCAAGTTAAGGAGAAGAAAAAATACTCTATGTCTTATAGGGTACGCTCTATCTATCAGTCACTTGTACTTCTTCGGAGAATAGGTACAAAAATTTAGAAAAATAGCCGAACTTGACCACAGCAAAAAGCATGTGTCGCAGATTTTGGTAATTTTTCCAGAGCTCATTGAATACTATGCAACGATATTGCAACCATTAGAAAATGGATGAAATGCTGCATTGAATGCTCTCCTAACATCTCTCGAAAATCTTGATTCCATGAAATGTGGCGATCATTTGAAAAAGCAACATTACTTTCGGAACGAGCTAATATAAAAAAACACGCCAATTAAACTCACTCGTCTTCGTCATTCACAAGAATCTCGTCTAAGATTTTTGAAAATCCAAAGATTGCTTTTTTGATGATATAAGAGCATCTGCTTCAGCTATATTGTGAAAATAATAATTTATGCTTTTTTCTGAATGATTATGTATATTGTCAAATTCTTCCATCTCAACTTTTCTTCTCCTTAGTTCTGCCTTGAACAACTTCAAACATCATATTAGTTCTATAGTAATGCTAATTTCCTCTTATGCAAGATATGTTTGCATGTGCTTTGAGAATTGTGAAGCTGGAGCGCAAATAGTATGTATTTGTTGAATCTTCAAGCACGTCGCAACTGAGTTACTGAACCCTTCATTTAGTCTCTAAACTAGCTGACCTTCAGATATAAATTTCGCTGCAAATCGTTTTCGTTAACCGATTGATACGCGTACAGTTAGACCACTTACCGTTGTAAACAACAAAAATGCCTGGCAAAAAAACTAGGCCAATAATACTTCTTATATAAAAAGTATTACTGATGCAAAGACAGCGACAATGGTCAGTTTTTCTGTGAGTTTTTGCATTCTTTGATAGTAGTCTATATCTCCGTATAAGTTCAACTTTACCAGTATATTGTAGGCACTACTCTGGCAAACTTTATTCGTTCTATTATTTATTCCAACCATTGTCCGAACAAATCAAACCGAAGGTCAGTAAACGGCTTTTCTAGCCAGTCCTTGGCATTTACAGTTGATGCTTTTGCAGTGTGATCTACCAATTCCATAGCAGACTCGGACAGTTCTTCCTGTGAATTTTTTGCGTATAGTAGTGCATATTCGAATGAATTAGGACATAGCTCAGTTGAATTAGCATATTTCAGGATTACTTTCTGTAAAAACAATGATTCAGGAATAAAACTTGAAGATGCGAGCGCAATTAGCATTCACTTTCATCGCTATTTCCTACACTCAGTTCCAGTCATTTTAAAATTAAGAAAAACAATGCCAAGAGATCATCACGGGGATCATTCTGCCGGCTTAGAATAGAAACTTATATGACTTTAGAATGTTTACTGGGTAAAAACGGAATTTTTTCTAGCTCTCGTATCTTAGCTGGTGAAGTCTGAGAAACCTGTTAGTTAGTCTGTTAATCGTTTAGTCGAAGCTACCGCAGTCTGTCCCTACGGAAAAGTTTTGGGCTGCCAACGGAAATGCTATCCGACATGTAGCGAACCGAAGAGTTGTCCTGAGGTGAGCGAACAACACTCATGCAATAAATAAGGATATCTTTCTGAAAATTCTGGGAATGTATCCAGCAAAGCATATTCAGATTGACCATTGTCTCAAGAAGACGTGTCAATGTCCCAAGGGTACGTTAGAGAGTGGAACGGGAGAATGCGTGGATCTTGCAAGATGTAGGCAGCTTCGATCAAGTGAGTTGAGTTTGGTGGCGAACATGGAACGAAAAATGAGTAAAAGGTGGTGCGGCTCCGTGCTGTATGTTAGAAGTCACTTGTAGCATCTAATCGCCTCGATAACCACCCAAAAACAAGGCAATGAAGACCAAATCAATTTTAATCTTACAATTAACTAATTTTCAATATCTCATTTTCAGAGCGACAGGCTGTCGGTCCTATCATCAGAAATGTGAGTTTGCTGATTTGCTAATATTTCATAACAATGCTCACCTCACATAAGCAATGATTGCTAACAGTCTTTACAAACATTAGCTGGGCAGGCAACGCGTTCTCAGAGGCAAGGGTCGTGATTTCGGTTTCTTTGAATAACGAGACGTCCAAATCTTTGGATTTATAATATCTAGATAATACTATGAATTTTTCACACAATTTCGCCACATTATTTGCTAGAACCTCTGAGAATGTCAGGAAGATGTGGAAAGTTTGGAAGGGACGCAAAGGGCATGGACGCTTCCGAACTTTCTAGATCTTCATTATCGCACGGATTACTATGAAACTGCCTCTGCCGCAGCGAGAATCATAAATTACGCGCACCCCAGTCAGCAGTGAGATTAGTTCGTCATGAAGCTAATCAAGGACAGAAATTAGTAACTTTGAATTGGCCTTTTGAATCAATAAGAAGCCACCTCTATAAAATCGTAGCTTATTCAGATAATTTATAAGTAGTGATCCTTATAGAATGGCAGCCCAACGGTCAAAAATTGCTATAATTTTTTTTGAGTGGTGTAAGTGATGCACGCTCGCAAGGGTATTTACACGTGCAATCTTCCAAAACACTAGTAGGGTCGGTAGGAAACCTATCGAAACTCAAAGTTATAACTCAGAGTTAACTCTGAGTTATCTCTGAGCTAACGCGCAACTTTTGACCCCTATAACAGGTGTTTGAACAGATCAAATCCGGAAAGCGATGATATGGCAGGATTCTCCTTAACACGTAGCTTATTCCTAGTAGCGCAACATTGTCCAAATCGTCCTACACAAGAAACAGCGCCACCAAACGCGCAACTAGTGTCTGCGATAACTCTGAGTTTGATGCGCGTTACAGTCTACCGTTGAACTCAGAGATAACTCTGAGTTTGGTCAGAGAAAGAGAAATAGTGCGCAGGAGAAGAGGGGCAGCTAAAAAGTCCTCCGGGGTACATTTTGCTCGTAGTTTAAGCAGGCATGATGGGGGTATCGTGGTGCGCCGTGATTTACAATTTGAAATTTTGTAAAAACTTGGCCCAGGGGGTTATTTGGTGCGCTGGTCACGCATATGGTACCCATTTTTCACTATGGGGTCATGTAGAGGTTTTACGGTAGGTTTACGGTAGATTGGAGAAAATCACGAAACTGTTCGAAACTTGGTACACTGGGGTTATTCGGGGCGCCGATAACGAATATGACATGCAGATTATACTGTGGTGTCATCTGAAGGGGTTACGGTAGGTTTACGGTAGATAAATTAAAGCGGCGAAATTAGCCGAAATTTGGTACACTGGAGTTATGGGATGCAGATTACGAACAATCTATCTGCTACATACACTGGTGACATATGGAACGGTTACGGTAGGTGTACGGTAAGTAAGACGATGTCATGGAAGGGCAAACTTTGCCCGGAGGATTTATTCTGTGCGCAAATCCTAATAGTCAATTCTTATCATTGCGTATGCCATCCGCTTTCTTTATTGTTTGAAGCTTTCAGCTGCGCAAAAGGCCAATCCTCGTGATGAACCATCACTGCCCGATAGAAATGGAAATGAGTGAGGCTTTGGTATAACTTGTTTTGACCTGCTATGTTAATGGAATGAGGGGTACATTATGGCAAAGCAATTTTAGGGTTCATGGGTTTGTCATGGTCTAGTGGTTTAGTGATAGGATCTTTACGCTAGACCATACAGGTTCGAGTCTCTACTTTAACGTCTCTTTTGCAGCAAGGTGCTTAACAGCTCCTCAAAGCAAAACTCCGAGCTTGAGAGTTGGAATTCGGAGTTACGAAAGCGGAACTCAGAGTTTCAATAAGCGTAACTCAGAGTTTCAAAAACGGAACTCAGAGTTATCTCTGAGTTAACGCGAAGCTTCAAACTCGGAGTTTCGACCAGATTACTACCGACCTAGCTTTTTTCGCAACTTCTATTATCCCTATCCCTTCCCTACATATATAAAGCAGCAAGTTACTTGTTCTGTAATTTTACGCAGCTTATAGACTCCTTAATTTTTACGAAAATTCTATCGTACTGCTATCGTAGCCTCACCACGGGACAGTAGTGAACAAAGTGGACTCTATAATCGTGATCATTACGTGGAATAATCCCAGAACATAATTTTTCATAAAAATCCGAAAGGCTGGGTTCGTTCAGAATGACTACCTAACCTTACCGTATAATGTCAAAAACAGAAATAGATCATATTTTGATAATCAGTGTCTTCGATAGCCCCTTTGGGGTTTCCTGGGGACAAATTTTCAGTTATTTCAAAACGAATATCATTTCGGAAAGTGCGACCCACGGGTGGGTCGTAAATTTGACAAAGCTGGAAAGGCTCTGGTCCGAAACGGCAGTATTCGAAAAACTGGCCTTGCCGTGAATGTGTTAAGTGAGGCATTGAACTCGTCTTGTCTATGGATCGTTCACGAGTTGTTTGCAGAATCTCTGCACCCTCTTTGGCATCGGTTGTCCACCTACAACAACAGCTAGACCACGTAAGTTTAGGTTCTTCGAGACTTTGACTACGAATGTTTCCACTGAATCCGAATGCGAAGCTGAAACACAAGACAGAAACAGTGGGAGAGTTGAAAATTCCTGATATGTTCTGCTTGACTCCAATAAGAATTGTGAAGCTGTCCGTTCTTGTGCAGCAGTTTTTGACACTAAGCCAGCATTTGTTTCCTTAGTGAATTACATTCGGATCGCTTTGCAGAACCGTGTGGAGCGAATCAAAGACGAGTTGCATGTGGTACAGCTTGCGAGCCCACTTGCGCAATACGAAATCCAGTGAGTAACTTGCCATCTGTTTCACTATTTTAACTTGAGAGTTTCACTGGGTGAAACCGCTCTTGAACCTTCATTAAGCCTTGCACTGCACAATGTATTCCAAATGTCTGCCGATGCTTGCCAGGATACATACGTTATGTAGGACTATGCATACCGACGTACGTTTGCAATTATTTCCTATTCGTGACACCATAACGATTTCTTGTGTTTAGGGCAGCCTGTCCTAATAATCCTATACGTACTAGCACTACCACACCTCCCATCATAATTGTGATTCCCCCAGGCGGATATCCATATCCACCAATTAGATATTTCGGTTACTATGTTCCACCATATTATCCATATCCAGGATATTATCCACCCTATTACAGTAAGTTAATTGACTAATCACGTTATTCCAGCAAATCAAATCATTCATAGCTTGCCCTGCGTACACAACCTATGCGCAATGTGTACCGTGTGAGCGTGCTTGCAACTCGAATTACTGGGTAAGCAGTTTCGCAATCATTTATGTCCACAACATTTTGAAAAAAGTGTTTTCAGCTTTGCTATCAGTACTGCGTCGCAGGCTGCACTTGTCAACAAGGATACGTCAGGGATCCAGTATCAAATTACTGCGTTAATCCCTATTACTGTCCCCGCCTGTATCAAGGCATCCGTAATAGTGCTCTCCTTGCTTTTAAGAAGTAAGAGAAGGCAGAAAGGACTCTAGCATGGAAGATGAAGCAAAACCGTTCTTCATTACTGACACAAAACGAATAAAATTCTTTTTCTTCCCTGGACAGGTTGTTAGAATGCCATTGGGCAGAGTCGGCATGTCAGAAAAGCGCTGTTCAGTGAAGTTTCTGTGTTTTGATATAGCTTTTGGAAAATTGGCCTTGGTCGTGAACGATCTTGCACAGCGTATTCATGTGAGCGAGATTACTCACAAATTAACAAAAGTTTTAGCTGGGATGGCTATTTATTGAAACATTTGACTACGTATATCTGTAGTGTACATATAGTGTTACCTTGCGTGTAAAGAAAGCATTAAAATGTGATATAATATCCAGTTTACGAAGCTATTTAATACAGCAAGTTTGGCATCATAAACGTTCTTATGTTTATTTATGTCCAAGTAAAAAGTTTGATAATCTGCGTCAGAGGTAGCGATATCTGTTGCGCGCACTTAAGTAAGTTTCATCTACTCAGGAACCTGCAATTAACACGGATTAATTTCTTATTGAGCGCATTGGCATAAATGTCAAAGTGAATAACTTGAAGAGTATGAAATGTATATTAATTGAATCATTCATTACTGACTACATCGGCTTAATTTGTCATATTAAATATCCTGTAGACTAAAATAATGTACACAACAAGTCTTCTTCTATCATCGAAAATCATATGAGCTAACAATATTAGGCATTCATAATTTTCGAATTACAAAATCTAACCGGGAAAGAGACTGATGTGTAGGTGTTAGATTGGCGAATGACACTGTTACGTAGAAAGGTGAAGAACAGACGCGCCTCACCGCGCTAATAATTAAGCACAGTCAAGCGTATGTTGTGACAGGCTCAAGCAGGAGACGCACAGGAGGAACCGCAGGCTTAGCCGCGGGTATCTGCAGAAGATAACTAAGGCTGGGTTCGTACTGATCGAAGTTCCGGTTTAGCACAATTTACGAATTGTGCAGGAATTGTGCTGGAACTATGCTGCGTACGCTGCAGCAGCCTGCATAGGTTTTGAGCGGCGGGAGTTAGAAATTTTCGATTATCAACATTTTCTCTCAAACTTCTACTACTCCGCTTCACCTTTTGATGAGAAGGGGATTCTCAAGTACGGCTGGAGAATGAACGCCGTCTTACTTCCATGTATGCGGGAAGACGTGTCCCCTTGCGCTCGTCCATTTTTTCTTCGTTGTTCTTGTTCACACCTTGTTCTTTGTTTCAAGGAAAGCTGTGTGACCACCAATATTGAAAGGGTCATAGACAGCCTGAAACACATCAAGTGGTTCTGAACAAATATTACAGAGAGAGTACGGACAAGCCCAAAGCCCGTCTTCCCGTATACATGGAGCGAAATAACGTTCGTTCCTTCATTCATTTCAAGTTCTCAGCTTTCTAATCGTTAAGAGAAGCCGAATGGAAGAAGGAATGAATAATAGATGATATAGAAAAAGGAAAGGGGCTGAGAATGCGCAGAGATGAAAGTCACTAAATTCGTGATCGCTCTTCCCACAAAGAGTGACCGAAATGAGTAAAGTTTGAGAGAAGCCTCAAAAATGGTCAAAAATCTCTAGCTCTCGCTGCTCGAAGCCGCATGCGGACAGCTAGCGCATACAGCACAGGTTCCGACACAATTCCAACACAGTTCGAAATTTGTGCTGGACTGTTCCGGAAATTCTGGATCCTTATGAACCCAGACCAAGAGCACGAGCACTGCGGGGGAGATTGCAGAGATCTAAATTTTGCCAAACAAATTTGAAGAGTAAGTCCCAAATTCGTTTGGGAAAAAGCTCAGGAAATAAGTGGCAATTTTGAGATCTGCTTTCAGGGCGCATTTGCTATAAAGAAATGAAGTCTGGGAATTGTCAATTTTCAGTCAAAATGACCGCTCCACCTATCAACCTTGAACTTGCTAGAAAACCTAAGCACACGACTATGGCGCTACCTAGAACGAAATACTTGCTGCAGAGTTCTGTTTAAAATATTTGAATGCCACGATGAATTTCAGTATTCCGAGGACTACCAAACTCTGATTTGGAATTCTCAGAATTGAAGACATTTATTTGTTTGATGTGTATCTAATTTTACTTCTCAAGCGCAGATTTTAAAATACACCTGCCGTACATCTAAAACATTTCCCAGCGTATGAGAATTTTGTCTATGGGTGAGCAGGGATCCTTAGAGGTTTTTATAGGGATCGTAATTTTCGTACATGTGACTTAGTCTAAAAAGCGGTAGAAGTGAGCTTTCCATACTGATACCAGAATAAAATTCTCCATTAGTTGATGCTACGAATCAAACTTCACATCGCTTCCAATTAGTGGATTAAGAAGTGTTGCCAAAGTTTTAGGGATCACTTCTTTTACCTTGAATGCTTCAACTCCACGGATCAGCACAACGAAACAAGTCAAGATAGGCTAAATCGCCTACTATAGACTCTTCAAGGTTTGTGCTAGCGAATCACATAAAACTTTGCTAAAAAAGCTTCTTCGAAGGTACTAATGTTATGCGGTCAGGCAGCTCAAAAGGTCAGGCCTTCTGAGCTTTTGAAGCCTTGTAGCTGACCCCTTTGACTCGTCTTCCAGATACAGAAATCGCTTTCATGCTATGAGCATTGAGGTCATACGCTTTCATGGTATTATTGTTGAGGTCATAGCCTCTTCTTGTTATAGTGAAAATGTAGAATCAACACTTTGCCCCCGAAAAATTATGGGCTTTTTGATAGGCCATTTCGAAGCACAGTTCGCCTTCAACTACGTGTACTTGTAGAAGTGCAGTCACTAAAACCTAGCTATGGTATTCATATATTCAAAAACTTTTGGGACAGGATGATGTTTTCAAAAAGTTACACATTGTTGGAGGTGAAGAGAAAGAAGAAGGAGTCGTTTGGGGCCTTCAGGGGAGGGGATGGAGGTAAGGGTCCCTCGAAGGATTTGTGCCTGACTTCTTACCCAACCCTGCTTCTGATTCCTTTATATTCGTCCACATAGCAGCGTAAACATGAAAAGAAAAGAAAGTCAATTCTCACTGAAACACCGGTTCCATTGTTTGAGAGCGTTTGAGATTTAACACGGTTGGTCATCATGGTATAAAAGTCTTTCCTTAGAGAAGAGTCTCGCAGAGAGTCTATATTTTAAGACTTCGTCTGCGGAAAAGGACCAAACGAAGTAAACACATGAAATCATTTGCTCTTTATATTAATTTATATTCGAAACAGAGTTTAGTAGTTTTAGAGAAGTCATTTTTAAACATATGTGACCAGGGTCAAGAAAGAAGTGTTGCACGAGACCATCAGCAATGTCGACGATTCGGTTTCGGTGATAGATATATCTCCAAACAATTTGAAACGCATCTATATTCCTTGTTCTATGCTTAGATCAAGTCTTCTAATGATGCAAAGACATGCTTAGTTTTCCACTCAAGCGATCGCTGATACCTTCGATACATAGCCATGTACTCTGGTGACCTTCACTTGAGCGATATGAAAAGCCAACTTTCATCAAAAAAACAGGAGTCATCCGGGGCTTCTGCCCGAGTGTTAAGATCATAACTATATCGGAATGAATGTGAGTGAAGTAAGTGTAACAAAAACCTCAAAAATATCCCAGAAAAGCGAAAAACTGCGTTTTTATGGCCTTTTTCTTGCTAAAAACAAGGGGTTTGTGTGTCTCCGTGAAATCCAAGACGACATTTCACAACTGACCTCTTAATACGATTGAGTTTCAAGGACTCACGAGAGTTATTGGGGTCAATTAAAAACAATAGACTGCGCTGAACTCTTGTGCAGAGAGTCGCGCACATAAGTGATTTATCTCGTTAAGAGGTGATTTTCAAGGCTTGCTACGTTGGCTAGGTTGTCAGTGCTCCTAATCGTGTCATGACGTTCAAAACGATATATAATATGAAGGGTTTCGTTGAGACTCCGCAGAGATCCACGACCAGAGCGAAATGTCCGTCGGCTCTAATCTTTCTCCTCTGCTCGTCTGCGTCTCCGCGCGCTGCGAGCCATCTCGCTACCCCTAACGTGGGGCACAGGGCATTCGGATCTGGTACACCTTTGTTTGTTGTTGTGAACTTATTTCTAGCAGACTGTTTATCATAATGAAGCTCTTGACTTCTACTTTCATGCTGACAACGCGCAGAACTCATTTGTTAATATAAAATCTCGCAAAACCTTGCAAAAATCTCTTCTTTTTTCTTCAATTTAGTTCTTTTCAAGCGTTTTTTGCATTCGATAAACTTGCTTCTGTTCATAATGCAAACAACGTCGCGGGGTTAACTTCTTCGATTGTGGTATAATACCCAGCAAAAAATTGCAAAAGTGCGTTTTTGTTCATAGGCCGAGGCCTTCACTGGAGTAGTAACCAACCAGTCCTTAGATACTTCGGACCATTTTGCTCAAATTTATCTGCATAACAAAGCTGACAACGTCGCCAGAAACAGAAATTACGGAAAACGGATAAAAATTTAAAGGTAGCCTCAAAAACTAGACTGTCTTTGACGTGCATTTCGACTTAATAAAAAACAAAACTTTATGTTTCCATAACTCATTTTTTCTCGTTTATTTTGTTCCTGGTAATACCACGTGTTGTGAAATGTCTAGTCCTGAAGAGAACTTGCAAAAAATGCCGCCAAACGAAAACTTATACCGATTAATTTTGATTCGCTTCATCCACTTCGTTGCGCGTGCCAAAGCTTGCGCGCTTCAGTCGCTGATTAAAGGCACCGTCCACCCAAATTCTCGACTTCCATGTTTTTGTCGCTTCCGGGCCTTCTGAAGGCCCTGATTCCGAATATGAAATCGAGAATCCCAAAAACCCCTATTTTGGAGAAAGCGGGACGGGTGGAAGTGCAGTTTGCAGGGCTGCGGCGCGGTTATCGCCCGGCGTATATCAGCGCCGCAGCACCCAAAGCTGCAAAATGGGCGGAGTGACCACCTCTGGATCACGTATCACGTAACTTCCAAAGCGGATTTCTCGC